GAAATGGGTACCGAGAGAATGGGTACAATGCCCAACAGCAGTTCCGGTTCATTCTGAACAGGCCTCGCTGTCCACGCCGCCGCGGCCTGTGTCCATTCGAGACTGGAGGCCGCCTGCCCAACAGCGGCCGCTGCTGGTTTGGGACAACATTTGTTGTTGGGCATCGTACCCATTTTTTCGTACCCATGTCGGGCGTCCAAATGTTAGATGAAAAGTCGGCAGGCAGGGCTGCGCCAGCTCTTCTCCAAGGCTGTCGAGCAGGCATCGTCGCAGCGGCTCGCTTGAGCTGGCAGCGTGTTCCACTAGGCGTTGTCCTACTCGTTCCCAATGCGCGTGCCTCAAGCCCTCCCGCAGCTCCTTCGCAGCTCCCTCGAAGCTCCTTCGAAGCTCGCTTTTCGAAGCTTGTGAGCTCCCCAGGCGTGCTTTCCAGTGTCCTGGCATGCATCTCCGTGAGTCGTTTCCGACAGTTGCAAGCTCTCCAGGCATGCTGTTTAGCAGCCTTACAATTTTTTCCAGAGGTTTTTCGCGCGCTTGATTCCGACGGCGCTGCTATCCGGGTATTGGATTGCATGAGTGCTTGCATGCTCCCCAGGCATCCAGTCCAGTGCTCTGGCAAGCGTCTCCCGCAGTCACTGGGCGCCGGCGGTAAACCGTCAACCTGGTTGCCGATGGGACTCGTGGAGCCTTTGAAGTCGACGAGAGTCATCGTGGGAGTGCCTCGTGAGCTAGGGGAGATGTGGGCGCAGGGTGGAGCTAGTTGGCCGATCCTGCCATGACGAACTTTGCGGAGACCTGGGCTCGGTGCTTTTTGGATTGTTTCGCAATACGTAGCTTGTTAGTCTACAATCCCAGATTTTTGCGCTCAGTAGTAGATCATGCTGCGCTCGCTGGTGCAATTTTCGGGGCTGTAGCTGCAATATGATGCAGAAGACGTAGTTCTCTCAGCTTAACTCGTGGTCTAAGCTAATTACGGAGCTCTTAGGCACAGCAATCGATAGAGCAGCTTCGACGGCATGGATCTAGAGCCTCGGTACCGGTGTGCTACTCGAGCTTTGACCGAACAAACTGTTAGCAGCTCGCAGTTTTTGCACACATTCGGTTTACGGACGTGATTTCGATATAACGAGCTCTCAGTCGCACGAGTCGATTCAGCAGCATCGGGCGCATGGGTCTGAAGCCTCGGGAGGCTTGAGCTAGGTTTTCTATTCGAGCTATGACCGAGAAGCTTTTCGCACCCTGCAGCATATTTTGTCGTTCGCGTATGGCTTGCAGTCTGGTCTTACGAATTAGAGCAGCTGTACAGCTTCCAGTCGCAGCCATCGACTCAGCAGCATCGAGAGCATTGCGAGAGGCCTAGGGTCGATCTGCTACCCGACGTATGACCGAACAACTCGCACTTCGCATTTTTTTGTTGTACATTTTCGGTTTGCAGACTTGATCTCGAGATTTCGAGCAGCTACAGATATTTCAGTTACAGGAGTGGAGCCATAAGTACCGGAAGCACTAGCTTGCAGCATCGAGAGGCCTGTGTTCGAGCTTTCATTCGAGCTTTGTATGAACAGCTATTCGCACTCTGCAGTCATTTCTGGTGCGTGCTCCGCTTCGGGATTTCGTCCGGAAATTCAGAGCAGCCGTAGACCTCCTCCCAGTCACAGCAATCGATGCAGCAGAATCGAGAGCATAGTTTCGGAGCATCGAGAGGCCTGATATCTGTCTGCCACCCGAGCAATGACCTGACAACTTTTCGCACTCGGCATGTTTTTGGGGCACGCGTTCGGTTGGCGGACCTGATCTCGCCAATTGGAGCAGATAGAGATCTTTAAGTTGCAGGGATCGATTCAGAAGTATTGCAAGCTTTGGTCTAGAGCATCGAGAGGCCTGTGTTCGGTCTTCTAGCCGAGCTACGACCGCAGTCTCAGTCGCATTCTGCAATATTTTTGGAGCGCGTTCGGCTTAAGGATGTGGTTTCGGAGATTTTGAACATCTGCAGACTTCCCAGTCACGCCATTCGATTCAGCAGCATCAACTGCATTGGTGTAGAGCACCGAGAGGCCTGAGATCTGTCTGCCACCCGAGCAATGACCGAACAACTTTTCGCACTCTGGATTTTGTCGGCACACGTTCAGTTTTTTCTGGCTGGATCTCGAGATGTAGTGCTGCCGCAGAGCTTCCAGGCAGACGGGTCGATTCAGCCGAATCGTTTTAGATCCTTGAGAGGCCAGGGCTCGGTCTCCAACCCAAGCTATGACCGAATAACAATTCGCACTCTGGAATATCCTTCGGCGCGCGTTCGGTTTACGGACTTGGTTTTGATATTAAGAGCAGCTACAGAGCTGTTCTTCATGCGAGTCGATCCAGCCGCATCGCGAGCATTGGTCTAGGGCCTTGAGACCTGAGCTCGGTCTCGTATCCGAGCTCTGACCGACAAATTCATTTTACTTGGAAGTTCTTCCTGAGCAGTTGATCGCGCTGCTTTCGCTGGTAAAAGTTCCAGGGCTGGAGCTGCAATACATCAATTTCCTCAACTCGAAAGGTCGCGAGAGAGCCGTACGGAGGCGCAAAACCAGCTACAGCCAGAAATGTTGAACATATGGATCCCGTGCGACAGATTCTGAATGTGTGCGTTAGATGCAGCTGCAAGAGAGCTACGGAAGTCCTAACATGACTTGTCGACTTCAAGAGCTCTACGAGGGTCCCAGCGGTGCCCGTCAAGTGCCGCCGGCGTCCAGTGCCCCGTAGAGCTGGGTCGATGAGCGAAGAAGAAGTCGGGCGCAGGGTGGAGCTAGCTGGCCGACCCCGCCAGAACGAGCTTTGTGGTGACCTGGGCTCGGTTCTTTGAAGTTTGAAGGAATACTTAGACATTCGTTCTAATATTCCACATTCGTACCCTGAGCAGTGGATCATGCTGTGTTCGCGGGTAAAAGAGTCAGGAATGTGCTAATATATTTTGATGGATTGACTTCCAGGAACCGGTCGTAAGAATATGACAGTATGCAGATGATTTAGTTTTTTTTCCGTCGAGAATCGAGATTCAGACCAGCTGTGAAGCTGTTAGGCACAGCAATCGACTGAAAAGCATCGGGAGCTTTCGCGTAGAGCCTCGAGGAGCCTGACATTGGTCTGCTGTTCGAGCTCTTAGCGACACGCGATTCGCACTCTGTAACTTTTTTCCCGCGCTTGGTTTGCGGGCTTGATCTCGAGGTTTCGAGCAGCTGGGGAACTCCTCAGTCACAGGTGTCGATTCAGCAGCATCGGAAGTCTGGGTTTAGGGCCTCGAGAGTTCTGATCTCGATCTCCTATCCGCGCCATGGGGGGCAATCGTTTTCGCGCTCTGCAATATGCGCGCGTTCGGCTAAAGGACGTAGTCTCGATATTCAGAGCAGCTGAAGAGCTTCCAGTCACAGCACGTGCATCGATAATATTGGTTTAGAGCATCCAGAGACCTGAGTTCGGTCTGCTAGTCGATCTATGACCGAACAGCTGTTCGTAACCTGAATCTTTTTTGGCACACGTTCGGTTTGCAGACTTGATCTCGAGATTTAGAGCAACCGCAGGGCTCTCCAGCGTGCGAGTGGATTTAGCAGAAGCGATAGCATTGCCCGCTTTTGCAGGCCGCGCCCTGCTCGCCCTTTGATGGCGTGGCGCCCGTTTTGCCGGTCCGCTGCTGCGGGGCGCGCGTTGCCCGCCCAGCTCTTGCGCGGCGCCCCTCCTGCTGCCCTGCCCTCGATCGCCACCTCGCTGCCCGTGGTCGCGCGCGCGGTCGTTCGCGCGCGCGGTCGTTCGCGCGGCGCGTCTCACGGTGTGGCAGGTCACTGGAGACGACCGAAAACTGTGTGTGTGTGTGTGTGTGTGTGTGTGTGTGTTTGGCGCCTGGTCTGCCGGGCCGCCATTCCCCCGGCTGTTGCTCAGCGCTGCCGCTGGTCCCCCCCCCCCGCGGCGCTCCCCCTCGCCGTAGCCGGTGGCTTCCTCTCTCCCAGTCGCGCCGGGGCCTCCTCCGTCTCCCTCGTGCATTGCGGCATCAATTTGAAGGCAGAGCGCCCCCTTGTTGCTGTTGCCAATTCGCCGGAGCAGTCGCCCTCTGCCCAGCCGCCGACGCAAAAGTGTGTGTGTGATTGTGTTATATATATATATATATATATATATGTATATATATCTGTGTGTGTGTGCGTGTGTGTGTGTGTGTGTGTGCGTGTGTGTGTGTGTGTGTGTGTGTGTGTGTGTGTGTGTGTGTGTGTGTGTGGGGCCCGCCGCGCGCGCGTCCGCGCGTTGGGTGATTATCTCCGCCTCGTCGCCTCGCGCGAGGTCGCGATCGCCAAACAGTGTGTGTGTGTGTGTATATATTATATGGGTGCCCTCCGCCAGGCTGCGAGTCCCTGGTCGTTCGTGTGGCCCTGGCGGCTTTCCGGGGCGCTTCCCCGAATGCCTGCGCCGCGTCGTTGCGCGCGTGGCCGCGACGTCCAAACAATGTGGGTATTTGCGTTTGCTTATTCTTAGTTTTTTCTTCGCCGGACTGGCTATCATATATCGTCGTGTGTTTGTGCATCGTGGTTTGGTCAGGAAAACCCGAGCAAGGAGCACAAACGTTTGGCACCATCAGTAGATCGTTTGTTCCGAACCAATGCCGTGATCAATTGCGCTCCCAATTGGTGTCGTCATAATGCCTGCTTCGTGATTGGATGATGCTTGCATCCTTGTGCACTTGTTCATTTTTTGGGATGCTGTCGTTACACACTTGACTGACAAATAAAGGCATCGTGTTTTTTCGTGTTGTGAATTCGTGACGCCTCGGCTTTGCTGCTTGCGACGAGAATCTTGACCCTCTACATCTGGTCCGTTATTTCGAGCATCGCATCACCTTGTGCGCAATTTCCGCATTGGTGAACACTGGTGTTTGCACCATCGCTACACATTGAGCCGTGCATGCTAGTTCACCATGTCTGTCAATTATCTTCCCTTGTGCCTTTCCTTCCCTTGACGCCGTCTTATTTCTCTTCGTCATGGCTCGAAGGGACCGCGCCGTACCCGTGCTCGCTCCGAAACCCTCATGGCGCCCAAGAAAGGAAAGGCGAAAGCGAAGGGCCAGGCGCAAGTCGATTGCCGCGTAGTTCTCCACCTCTCCCCATCTGCTTCTCCTTTTGGGCGCCTCGTTCGCAACTCTCCTTTGGTGCACGTGTCAGTGCGCGCATGCGAGAGCGCATGCCTGCGCAGCCGCGCGGGAGGAATATGTGAATCGCGCACGTGTGCGTGTGTGGTCTTCCCTGTCCGTCAGTCAGTGCCCATAGTCTTCGGTGGGCCTGCCTGCAGCGTGCTAGATGTGTGCATTTTGTTTCTCTCTCGCCGTCTTTCTTTCTTTATCTCTCCCTCTCTCTCTCTCTCTGTATCTGTCTCTCTTTTTGTCTCTCTCCAGTGGCCTTCCGCCCATCCCGCCACTGTGCCTGGGTGGTGGGTCAGATCGGGCAGGGAGGTGTGTTGCGCTCTTTTGGGCGACGCCTAGATGGCTTCTTGGAGACCTGTTGGGGTCTTCTTTGAAGCTTCTTGTGGTCTCCACGAGGCTCCTGTGGGCCGCTTGAGGCCGTCTTTGGTGCCTGCTGGGGTCCGGAGGCCATCTCCCGGGGGAGAGCTCATCATGGGGCCCCTCGAGTTCCTCATTTTTGGCCCGTCTGCGGTCCTCTCGGAGGCCTCGTGGTCCTCCTTTTGTGCTTCTCCGCGAAGGAAAAGGAACGTCAGAGCCACTCAGTTGAACCTCAAGCGTGCTTACCGGGCTGCAGTGCGGTGTTCCCGAGGAGTTCTGCTCTGCTTCGTAGCGCAAGGTCGGTTTTCGATTTCGCACAGACTGTTGCCTTCTGTTTTGATGCGGCTTTTCGCGAATGCCCTTGCAGTCGATCCCTGCACCTGGGCAGGCCAAGAAAGGAGACGCGCCGACGGAGGAGACACCGAAGGATGAGGCGGAGTCTTTCCCATCTTCGTTTTCTGAGTCAGGCAGGACGTGCGATCATTTAGCTTGGCCTGATGCCGGGGTATACATCTACGTGTGTTGTGTTAGAGCATCGAAGACGCCTGCGTCGAATCACCGCTGCCCCCTGCCTTTTGGAAACGCCCACGCGGCCAACCGTTGGGCCGAAGTCTGGCCAAGCTATTGGACTCTGTGTTCTGTCAGCCGTCGTGGAACCCCTTGGGGACAGTTCGGGAGAGGAGCAGGAAGGAGGAGGAGAGGGAACATGATGATGATGATGATGATGATGATGATGATGATGATGATGATGATGATGCTGATGATGATCATGATGATGCTGATGCTGATGCTGATGCTGATGCTGATGCTGATGCTGATGATGATGATGATGATGATGATGAGGAGGAGGAGGAGGAGGAGGAGGAGGAAGCGGAGGCCTCTGGAAGCCCTCTTGGGGCCTCGTGGGGGCTTGCTGGGAGCCTCTTGGGGGCCTCCGAGAGACCCCGTGGGGGCCTCCCGGGGGCCTCTTTGGGGGGCCTCTCGGGGCCGTCTTGGGGGCCTCTTGGGCTCCGTCTTGGGGTCCCCTTTGGCCGTCGTGGGGCCGTCTTGGAAGCCTTTTCGGCGATCTCGGGGCGATCTGTGGGAAAAAACACAAAACACATTTTTTTTTTTTTTTTTTTTTTTTTTTTTTTTTGTTTGTTGTTGTTGTTGTTGTTGTTGTTGTTGTTGTTGTTGTTGTTGTTGTTGGTGTGTGTGTGTGTGTGTTTTGTTTGTTTGTTTGTTTGTTTGCTTGTTTGTTTGTGTTTTTTTTGGTGTGTGTTTTTCCCACAGGGTCTGTGGGGCCGTGAGGGGCCGTCGAAAGGCCGAACAGGAGCAAATGCCTGAATCTCTCAGACACCAGTGAGAAATCTTACTGAGTCTGAGCCCTTCGGGCCCTTCTGGAGGACCTCTTGGAGGTCGCTTGGTCCATCTTGGAGATCTCCTGGGAGCCTCTTGGGCCGTCTTGGGTGCATCTGGGGCTGTCTGGGAGACATCTTGGGGCCATCTTCGGTTCTCTTGGGACCACCTTGGCCGTCTTGGAGGTCATCTTGGTCGTCTTGGAGGTCATCTTTGGGCCGTCCTTGGGGGTAGACCAATAGAAGATGTGTTTTCGGCGGCTGGGGCGTCGGACCGATGGCCTCTTCTAACCTCTGGCACGCCACGCACCCCATGCGGCAAGCCACTTTGGGGCGGCGGATCGAACACGCCCACTGCGAATCACCGCCGCACCCCGCCTCTTGAAAGCGCTTATGCGGCCAAACGTGGGGCCGACGTCTGGCCAAGCTGTTGGACCATGTGCCCCCCCAGCCGGTGTGGAGCCCTTTGGGGGAGCACCTGGGAGAGGAAGGCAAGGGAGGCGGGGAGGCCCCCCGGACGGCCACAGAGGGCCTCCAGAGGGTCCCAAGAGGGGCCCAAGAGGCTCCCCGGAAGGCCCAAGAGGGGCACGGGAGGCCCGGAAGAGGATCCAAGGGGGCCCCAAGAGGGCCCCACGCTGACGCAGGCCCCCCAAGACGGCCCAAGAGGCTCTGACGACGGCCCACGAGCCCCCCAAGAGGCTCCCCGAGCCGGCCTGAGGAGGGCGACAACATTGTTTTCCCAAATTTTGTTGAAGTTTTGTTGGGTACTGTTTTAAAGGTTTCTCGCCTTTTCGGGTTTCCGACGGTCCACAAGGCACCCAAGATCACCCCAAGACGGCCCAATAGGCCCGCAAGAGGGCCCCAGACGGCCCAAGACGGCCCCAGACTGCCCTGATGGTCGCAAGACGACCCAAGAAGGCCTCCAGAGGCTCCCAAGAGAGTCCCATGTGGTCCCCAAGAGGCTCCCAAGAGGGCCCCAAGAGGCCCCAAAGAAAGCCCTAAGACGACCAAAGCCCTTCGAGACGCCCCAAGATGGTCCCAAAGGCCCATCACGGCCCAAGAGGGCCCCAAGAGAGTCCCAAAGGGCCCCAACAGGACCCCCGAAGAAGGCCCGTGGACGCCAAATTGGAGAGGCTCTAAAGAGCTCACATTGAGGTGACAAACTCGTAATATTAGGGCTCCCAAAACAGCGCAGTGACGTAAACAACTCTTGACACCCAGGCTCCCAAGAGCGAGCGTTGACGTAACAAGCTTTGAACATCAAGGCTCCCACGAGCCCATAGTGACATGACAAGCTCTCAACACCAAGGCTCCCAAGAGCGGACGGTGCCGTTAAGCGGTCTGACCACCAAGGCACTGAAGAGGAGCGAGCGGTGACGTAATAAGCTCTGAACAAAGCTTCCAATAGCCCATAGTGACGTGATAAGCTCTTAACACCAAGGCTCCCAAGAGCGAACGGTGACGTAGAAAGTTCTGAGCACCAAGGCTCGCAAGAGCTCGCAGTGCAGCAACAAGCTCGTAACAAGAAGGCGCTGGAGAGCGATCGGTAACGTAACAAGTTCTTAACACCAGGGCTCTCGAGAGCGAACGGTGCCATGAGCCGTCTCAGGCAAGCTGAGGAAGTGCCCTTTCCGTTCCCGTGCCGGCCCAGGTGATGGAGAGAACGAGGTACGAGTGATGACGTTGAGTTGGGGGCGAAGCTCTCTGTGGAGGGGTTCCAGGGGACGGGCGTAGGGGCACAGCCCAGCATGACGCGCGCGCCCAGCCCCAAGACGACCTAAGAGGCGCCCAAGACGGCCTCAGATGCTTCCAAGACACCCACGAAACAGGGAGAGGTCCAAGATGGCTTCAAGACAGCCAGGAGCGCTCCAAGAGAGCCAAGACCGCCCACGAGCGTTCCCAGGCATCCTAACACAATGACTTTCCATGGTTTTTGAGCGTTTTTGCGTTCTCGAATTTTCAAGCGTCCGACTTGCCAACAGGACTCAAGAGGCCCTCGAGATCGCTCCAAGACGGCCCAAGAGGCTCCCAAGAGGGCCGCAAGGCGGCCCAAGATGACCAGGAAACGCCCCTTGGGGCCAAGAGGGCACGAAGATGTCAGCAAGATGGTCCAAGGTGCCCTCCATATTGTCCAAGAGCGTTCGGATGCGGCCTACGATGTCATTAATTCCGCCCAAGAGGCCCCAAAGAAGCGCTTCAATTTTTACCCAATATAACGATTTCGCCAGGGACACCCTCAATCAATCGAGATGTTCTCGACATCGTCTTGGTATCGTCCTGGAGGGCCTCAAGACAGCCCAATAACAGAGCCCAAAAGACGTCCCAAGGGGGCCCCAAGATGGCCGAATCTTGCTCCAATGTGGTTTCCAAGAGGGCCCAATACGGTCCAATGTTGCCTCCACTAACACGCCCTCCTTGGGGTCGCAAATGGCATTTGTGTGCAGACATCTTCAAACCAATGAGATGTCCTCAACACCACCTTGGTGTCGCTTTTGAAAGGCCTGGAGACGGCCCAGCGGAGGCCAACAAGACTGCCCAAAAGGTCCCTAAGATGGCCCAAGATGGCCCCAAGATGGTTCTCCAAGAGGGCCCAAGACGATTCAAAATTGCTTCCAAGACGGGTCAAGAGGTCCAAGAGGCCCCGTGACGGCCCAAGTGCGCTGAGCACTTCAAGGCGGCCCAAGATGGCCTCAAGACGGCCCAAGAGGCTCCGAGAAGCCACACTTTGGCTCCAAGAGTGCCTCCGAGATTGCCTCAATCGGCAATTCTCAGAAACCGTAGATGTTTTTTAACGGCTTCAGAGGCCGCCGAGATCGCTCCAAGAGTACCACAAGACGGCCCAAGATGGCTTCACTATTCCCCAAGGATGGGACAAGGGCGCGGGGAAGGGAGGACACAAGATGAGGAATAACGGCCAAGCTATCTACCTCGCGCCATCATGAAGTACGGCGGAAAGCGCGCGTAGCGTGCGATCCGTCGTCGGAAGAAATGAAACTGGGGGGGGGTGGCATCCTCGGCCCCTGGTTTGACACGCCCCCGCGTAAGCTCGCGCATGCTCCGCGAGAGCTCCGCGTGAGCGCTCAAGCTTCTCACAAGCTGGACGCGCCTCGGCCTGTCTCACGGGGGGCTCCTGGGCGTTCTGGGGTGCCCC